TGATAAAGGCTGGTCTCAAAGAACCAGTGGCAGGAGAGTGAGGTTTGCACAGAAACTCTGCGACCTGGCTTGCTGCACACAGGCTTTGGCGGGTATCCCTCTGGGAATCCTTCCTAGGCTGGATATCTCCCACCCAGAACATAACTGCCCAGTGGTCCCTGTGCATCAGCGAATGCAGATCGTGACACGAAAGCAGTCCAGGGACTAAAACACAGTGCTGGCAACTCTTTCTAATCTAATCATTCTTCTCTCACTGATTTAGTTCCCCCTTCAGTCACAAGACTGAAAGCCAGTCTACACAGGGACAGTGCTGTGCAGGGGCTACTTCTGGAGGCGTGTCCTGTGTGGACACTCTCATTCTGAAGTTAAGAGGGCAATCCTTTTCCAAAAGGGCTGAATCCTCACTGGTGGTTAGTGCAGGATGCAGGACATGCAGTGCACAGTAAATATCCACAGCAGCTCAGTAACCTCCTGGTGTATTTCTGACTTTATTGAAAGGCCTTCTGTGAAACTGGAAATGTTTCTGGAGTTGTTTCTCCCTCTCCTGCCTGGCAGTATTATATCTGTGATGGAATTTCATCAGAAGGAGAATATCACTTTGTTTTGTTTTTTTTCTTTCTGGACTAATTTCCATGAAGCATTATTATGTAAAGTCATGTTGATTTTATGCCTGTGAAATTGTCAAGGACTTCATCATAGAAGTGTCCAAAAAAAGGTGTTAATAATACAGGTCTAGCTCACAGATGGCTTTGGGATAGGCTAGGGATAAGGCTTGTCAAGTGTTTCTCACATGCTATAGAGAGACAGGTCCTGTGAGAGAGCTGTCTGAAATGCATTCCCCTCCCTGTGTGGCTGACACTTTGCTGTACACTGAGGGTGATCAGGTCTGATTCTCCCTGCTCACTCCTTCGTGTTTCCTGTCCCAGTATTGTTCCTGAATGGCACACAGAGGTAATCTCTGAATCCAGCAGGCACAGTCTAGTTCTTCTGAGTGAATGAGGGAGGGAGAAGGTTTCTGTCCCACACATGCATCACGCACATGTAGCTCTTATGAGCACTTTTTGTGCTGCTGGTAACTATTTGGATTTTAATGCACAGAAAGGAAATGGAGAAAGGCAAAATCCAGGAAGGTGGTGATGTACAGATACCTCAGCCAGCCCCTCAGTGTGTCATCCCTTCTCTACTGCACCCACTTCAAGGGAAAACAGAGGTGTCGTGTCCAGCTCCATAGCTGCGGAAATAGCTGGTTTTCCCACTGTTAAGCCAGGAAGAAGGATTTTTCCTCCCCTCCCCAAGAGCCTGCTATGCAAAACTTGTATGACTTAAGTAAGGAGAGCAAGTGGAAGAGAATGCTCTCCCAGACAGTGGGAATGAGGAGAACAGCTGACAGCTTGCCATGTGCAGCTTGTGGATCTCAGCAGTTTGTGGTGCTGGGGAATGGATTTTGAAGGAAAGGAGAAATAAAGGCAGGATGTAAAGGGAAAATAAGATGACATGTACCATCTTCTGATCAAAGGTAAAGAGGGTTCTTGGATTAAGATTCCTGATCTCCTAGGTAAAAGAAACATAGCAGACCTTATCTGCCTGGAGTTTGGTGAGCTGTATGATGTGGTGTCCCAGAAGAAGCAAATTAGTAGAGAAGCTTCAGCTGAAGAAGACAGGGATTAATAGAGAAATCCTCAAGTGGGTAAGAGACTGACAGAATTGAGACACCGGTTCCCTAAGAGGTTGAAGGGAAATTATCTGTGAGGCTGTCTGAAGATTGCTCTTAGGACTGATCTTTTTTTAATATTTCTGTTAATTACCTTGGCACCGAAAGTAGAAATGCTAATGAAATCTGCTGATGAAGCAAAGCTGGGAGGTATCATCAGGGCAGAGGTGGATTCCAGCACTAGGAGGGCTCTTTGTGACTGGAACGATCGAGGTGAGGTTCAATGAGAGAGTGCAAAGTCACACACCAGGAACCTGTTGCTTGAAGAGTAGCAGGATTGTTTCTTAGCAGAGAGATCTTCCCCAGGATGGGGAAAGTCTTGGGTCAAGGTCACCAAAGGAGGAGGAACCAGCGATGCTACATAGGGGTGAAAAAGGCAAGTGAGCTCTGAGGACGTAGCAGTATTTCCAGTTGCACCGAGTGAGATTGATGCCAGGGGCTTTACATCCCAGAGGATGTGAGACTCCTCCAGGATAGTGTGTGCAGCACTGCTCACCCACACAAGAAGGATGTTCAGCCTGAAGCAGGTGCAAAGAAAGGCAGTGGGGTGATCAGAGGGACGGAGAGTGTCTCTTGTCTGAGAGTATGTTTACTTATCAGTCACGGAAATGACTGCAGAGAGACATTTGAGCTGATTTGAAAATAGATGTGGCACCAGTTTGAGCTGTTCAGCATTAATTATTTTGCACTGAACTTCATGCTACTGCAGCTACACAAAGTAATTAAACCACGGTGTGATGTGCCTGCAGGGTGAATACTATAAGGGAGCTCAGTTACTCAGTCTGGCAGAACAAAGGTTAAGAGAGGAGAGATTTGCTGCCTATAAATACTTTTAGGAATTGGGGGTTGGGAAAGTAAGTGCTAGGGAGAGAGGAGAGCTGCATAAGCTAAAGGACAATGTGGCACAAGAATAAATAGATATAAATTGGCCATGAATGAATTTAGGTTGGAAATCAGAAGGTTTCTAAGCAACAGAGCAGGGAAGGAGGTGCTGGAACAGCATTCTAGTAGCACAAGTTAGGGCGGAAACCTAATGAGATTTAGGGCAGAGCTTAGTAAGTTTAGAAAAGACCATTTGTTTTTTACTTGCCTGTTATTCAAAGGGATTGAACCTGATAAGCCAAGAGGTCCCTTTTTCATTTTATTTCCTGTACCTGCCTTATTACCTTATCAGAGCTGCACCCTTGCAAACAAAAGCCAGGTAAATCCTGAACAGAGCTTATGTGATGAGTTTTTCGGCACTGATCCCATGGATGTTTAAGGAGGATTCATTCTGTGTCAGGGATTTAAACAAACAAAAAGGAAGCCAAGACAATGCGTGGAGAAGGTCTGCAAATATGCAGTAGTATAGATGAGAGCTCACATATGAAAGAGCTTCTTCATATAAAACAGATGTTCTCAGAGCACCTGGCTTTGATGGAAGGCTACTTCAAATGCAGGTAGGTGCTCTCCTGAGATGTCAGAACTTAAAGGGATTGTCTGAAGGGAAAATGTCTCATATATTCCTGCCATTACCGAGGACTCTGTGCTTGGGGAGGATATCAGATTTGCTGCACTGGGAAATTCAAGAAAAAGCCACCACCCAACAGCAGTTGAGTTCATCTCTGATGCCTGGCCACAGCACTGCACTTACTCTGATCCTTCACAATGTTCCATGCTGGACAGGCACCTCTATTGCCTCCTCTAAAGCACCAATGGATGGTGATGGTGCCTTCCTGGTGAAATACTTATCTAAAATCCCCATGCATGGATATGACTGAAAGAGAAGGCAGGAGAGGGAAGTTCTCTGTTATACATTAGACCTCTGGAGACAGTTTGAAGGCATCCTCCAGCAGGAGGCAAATTCCCAAGGACAGGCTGGGCCCAAGGGAACAGGAGTAGCATGTAATGAAAGGCCCCTGAATGAGGAGAACAGTTTTATAATCACAGTGCCTTATCTAGTAAAAAATCCCAGATTATTCCAGTATAGGTGGATGTTTTCCCCTTCCCAGCCCAGAGTACCATACCAGCACAGAACGAGAAAAGAAGAAAGAAGAAACAGTAAGGCTTGAAGTGTCACTACGTGTCAGTCTCATTTGCCAGTAGAAAGAAAAGCTGGAAGAGGTTTTCCTCTCACTGAGGAGAAATTACCATCTATCCTGAAGTAAATGCTTAGTTGTCAGCTTTATGTTACTGGAAACAAAGCATGGTACTCTCACAGCTACTGCTTCTGCTTCTGAACTCTGCAACATCTCTGAGTAGCTGAGAAGTGCTTTGCAAATGATAATGTAATTACAGCTCCTATAAACACTCTCCTTGCTTTACAGGTGGAGGAACCAAACCATGGAGAGCATAAAGGATTTGCCCAAAGGATCAGCAATTCATTTTAAAGCAAGGAGTCCTCATCTACCTATCCACCAGACATTCATCTTGTCCTGTGAACTTCCATCTAGATGAGTTGCTGCTTTACAAAATTATATGCGTCTATACAAATATACATATATATGTTTCCCAAAGTAAGAAGAAAAGAAAGAACAGACCTTTACCTCTTTTTGCTGAGCTTGGGCAGGTAGAGAGAGGAACAGGTAAAGTTGACTGAAGGGTGGGTGAGCTTTAGCACAGCGCTTTGGTCTTGCTAGAGCCCACCTCTGTGTCAGTGTTGGGCTCCCAGAAGAGATCCGTGTCTGAGGGAGGGCACTCTGGACAGGGTGAGCAAACCCCAGTCAGCTCCCAGGAGCTCAGCCTCCTGCTGTGGTCTGACACTGGCTCACTGGCTGGAGATCCCCTCGAGCCTGGAGGACTGATGCTGGGGGAGACCAGCTCCTGAGCTGTTCCTGACATGCACTGGCAGCTGTCTGCCTGCTACTCTTTTAAAGGGTCTTTGTGAATCAGGATAAAAATGTGACCTTACGCAGGCGGCATTGTGAGCGCAGCTTGGCTCAGGTTCAGCTCTTCCTCTGGCTCCCAGCTACTCTATTTTTATTGAAGGAATTTTGAGGCTATCAGAAAGGAAGTCAAATTGTTTTAGGAAAACAATAGAAAAGCAACTTGAAGTTTATTAGCTTCCTGCCCAGGGTCTGGGACCAACTTGTCAAACTTATTAGAGCGATGGTGGGACTATTTATTTAAAAGGGCTAGCGACAAGACTCACAATTTCATTCCTGTTTAGGCCTTGGTGGAAACAAAGGAAGGCCATAAAATAATATCTGAAGGGAGCAGATGGCTAACTGGTAAATGGTGCGAATAAGGTTGGCCTGTGAGACACTGGTGGTGGTCACCAGTGCAGTGGCTTTTGTGGGATTTTGTTATCGACCGAATGCCCAGGCTTGCATTCATAGGCCAGTCCCATCACCCCAAATTCCTTACTGTGGCTCGAATTTTCAGATGGAAGCCTCACACCTAAGAAAACAAATTTGGCAGGAAAAGGTCTGCGTTTTAGAGCTACTGAAAGGAGCAAGACAATGCAGCAGGTCTGCAGAAGAGACAGGAATAGAGCCCAGGTGTCCCTGATCCCATTGGACTGCTGGAGCCCCCCGACTGCAAAAAATATTTATATCCTTCAGAAGCAGCTGCAGTCTGCTTCCCCATCCAGCTACCCCAAAGTAGCAGCACCATTAGGTCATTGCATACATGCTGGCATGTGGCTGGTGAGAAGAATAGACAGCCAAACCATCAGACTCACGAGCAGAAAGTGTCTGTGCTGCCCAAGCCCTTCTAAGGAGTTTCATCGTTTGCAAGGAAACAAGAAGAGAATAAAACAGGTAACCAAGAAGCACTTAACAAACTCTGCTTAATGCAAAGCCATATCCCTTTTTCAGAGGGCTCTCTTCTGAGTGTTTAACCTGCTTCCAGGGAGGACTGGGGAGGAACTCACCTCTCCTTTCAGCGGTGCAGTTGTAGTCTCTAGGAAGTCAGGTGCTGAGAGGTACTGAGCCCGCAGAGCTGTGCACACAGGCTTTGAAAGCTCAGTAACTGCTTTTCAGATGAAAGGAAGAAGAGCCCACCTCAAAAATTCTCTTCCTTCTTCTCCTCATTAGCTTAACTAAAAGTGGGAATGCAAAGCTCCTGTTTTTTCTGAGGCCTAGATCAATAATACATCTTCTATTGGCAAGTGACAGAAGATCTTGTTTTATGTGTTCCTTTTAATTTGCCTGGGTTAGGTGTTTATAAAAGAGTCAAAGTGAGTGCATGGTCTCTGCAAGGGCCTAAGAAACTGGGTCTTAAACTTGGTAATTTTAATGTTAATGCAACAGTTTTCCACTCATTTAAGTAATTCTTGCGGCTTTCAGAAGGTTTTTGTAATTTCTGTCCCTCTGAGATACTGCCTTGGTAAACAAGTCAGCCAAAGAAGTGCACTGAGCAGTGCAGCATCCCTAGTTCATCACAGTCAGTAGGTGTTTACTTAATTTTAAGTACATTCTTGAGCTGCGCTGATTTCAGTGGGATTTAATAGCCTGCAAGTTAAGCACCCTACATTGCCAGGCAGCTTTGCTGAGGGGATTCCAAGGCAGACAACAGCCAATCAATATATTCTCAATGGCCTCTGCTGCAAGGGGTGCCACGTGCAAATCACATGATGGTGATTTCTGGCAACAGAAAATAATTTATTCGCACTGACTTGGCATCTGCGTCATCTGGACTGGTATCACTTAATTCGTGCTTTGATCTAGCAAGTAAGTGTTTTGACCCCCAATGTGTGCTGTGAGAATCTCTCTGTCAGTCACTCAGGACCTCTGGACTCTCGGTAGCCCCTGAGGCTGAGATCCTGCAAAGGCTTGGTCATGTGAGTGACTCGATATAGTTACGGCTCAGGGCCATTCCTGTGGGTACAGTCCTTCTGTCTGCAGATGTCATAGACTGGGAAATGTTGTAGATTGCTGAAACTCCTGTTTTTTTGGTTTTGTTTTTTTTCTACCAGGAGCCAATATGGTTTCTCAGAAACTTCTGGAATGATAGAGTGTACTAGCCCACTGGACACGTGGATGCTGGGGGTTTTCTCACCCCCAGAAGGCTGTGACATGTAACCATGTGGTGCCAATGTTCCTGGGATGTGGGGTTTAAGAAGTTGTGCTGCTGCGAGAGCTCCCAGCTTTAGGATAAGGCTGCTTAAGCAATATTGCCAGTGTGGAAAGAATCACAGGCACATGTCTCTTCACAAAGCAAGCTGAGGAGTAGAAGGACCTCAGCCTGCTCCATACATTCTCTGCAGGGGGAAGAGAAATCAGGACCTGAATCTACTCTGAAGGCCAAGATCTCTTGAGCTTTCCCTGGAAGTCAGCTTCAAAGGAAGAAACAGTTAAAAGGATTTGAGAAAAGAGAGACATGTGCCTGAATGGTGGTGAGTGGAGCTGAAAAGTAAACAGCCTGAGTTATGGGGAGCATTCTCAGATGGTGCTTATTGCTCGCAGCCAGTCTGTTCTCTTTTCTGATGGCCTGAAAGAATTTCAAAGCATGACGTCCTGAGTAAAATTAAGAACTTGGTTAATTGCAAAAATCTATGAGTAATGCTTCTTACTATCAATTTTGTGATGTGTGCTGGCTGGATTCTGAAGCCTTCTGTAAGAAAATTACAGCGAATGGCGGGGGCAGGAGGACGCTGCTGGCCCAAGCAGATTAGAAGGGGGCATTTTATTTTAGAAGACCTCACAAAGTGGCTTAACTCCCAGCAATGTTGTGGTGCACAGCATGCAGGGAAGGTACCTTGGAAGTGGCTTCCCTTTCCAGAGTGTGTGCCACGAGGTGAGCAGTGCCAGGGAAGCAGGCAGCCCTGCTCCCTCATGCTGCACCTCCTGTGTGGCTGCGTGGAGGGAAACCTCCTCACCTCACAGGGATGCGTCAGGTACCCATACTTGTCAGCCTGGTGTCCCGAGGATTTATTAGAGGAACGCCTGGAAAAGGAATGTATCCAGTTTTGTTTTCTGGAAGGGTGAAGGATTTGGTCAATTCGATTATCCTTAATTGTTTTTCTGGACACCTGGTAAAACACTGTTTGGCTTTCTAACAGCCAAAGAAGAGGTGACAGGCTGCAGAGGAAACAGGTGTGAGTGTTAGTCACCTACAGCCACAAGGCAAGGAAATGAGTGCCTTGCCTCCTCCTTGCAGCCAAGCAGTGAGCCAGGCTGGCTCTCCAGGTGGCCACAAGCAATGCTCATGTTTAAAGCTACAAGGAGTGGGAAGAAGGCTAGGAAATTCCCTGAGCACTGAAGTCCTACCTATTGTAGAGCTTTCCCCACTGAGCTTCCCATTTAATTTAATTTAAATTCTCTCCCCTTGGTGCTCGTGCGTAGTGCAATGCACTCTGCTCTGATCCTAATTGCTGGATGCTCCATATAAATCCAGGCACTGCATCCTCACTGGGTCCTTTGCATGCTGCAGCTTCTTGTTTTGAATGCTAAGTGGAGGCAAAGATGAAGTGTGACCATGTGAGGGAGAGGCACACAAAATTGCTGCCTGTATACTAAGATGTTTCATTTGTGGGTTGCTGTTTTTTCATGTCTCTTTGAGATGTGACTGACAGAGGTTTGAGGATTGACAGATGGCTGGTGATCGGTTGAGGTTTTGTGATTGGGCAGATGACATCCAAGTGGGCTTGCAATGTGCTAAGACCCCCTCTATGAGCTCATGCAGAAGCCTGGTGGTAAAATCTGATGATTTAGTGATGTCAGACAGCATTGTGTTTGTTTGTTGATGTTTATGGTTTTCCTTAAAATGGTGGAAAAAGAAGAGAGACTTAAACTTGATTGAAGCAAATTGAAATATAAATTAGAAGCCATAAATTCATTGGTACAGAATCTTGCGGTTCTGTACTCAAAATACAGAGTTTGGCTTCTTGGAGAGAAAAGTGAAATTTAGTTTCCTTAAAAACCACCTCTCACCCCCAACTGGGTTATGAAGAAATAGCTATTTACATAATAAGCAATTTTTTTCCTGGTTGGGGGTGATGAGTTTCTGCCTTCTGTGTGTCTGAGAAACAGAGATGCCTCAGCAACACACATCAGTAGAAGAGATGGTTTTTGCATGTGATACCCACGTGGTATGATGTGGGGGCCTCCTATAATTACCCTCTGCCTGTTGAAGGGGAATGGTAAATTGGTCCTTTCAGACCCAGAAGAACCCAAGACTGATTTTTTGACAATGCACTCAGTATTTAGGAGTGTTGTCACCGAACCAGAGGCACCACAGGATGTGCCCACTGAAAGAGCGCTTCAGAAAACCAACGGCAGTGGTCAAAAGCCATGCAAGATTGCTCACGGGAAGCTGAGAACAGGGAAATGGGGATCCTTGATGTTGTCTGCTTTTCCCACACTCTTTCCCCACTTTCCTCTCAGGCCAGCTTTGTGAAGAACCACATTTCTCCCTCAGGGAAAGTAACAATTTAGCACAGCGGGGAAGAAAGAGGTTTCGCGATGTGCTGCATGAAATGATGCAGTATCGCTCAGCCAACATCTGGTAAAACGTTCTTAAACAGCCTCATCTTCCTGTATCAGCATTTCTAACATCAATAATTTTATTGGTAATAACCAGTAAGGTCTGAGATTTGTTGGAGGAGGATGGATGGCTGCATTTGGGGAGAGAATCTAAAGGGCTTTGAAGGATGCTGATAGAAAAATGCTGAGGCAACTTCACAATTACTGAGCTGAGAAATCTGCACCGATTTGCACTTCCCAAATTGTTTGGAAAACATGAGAAAAGCTGCCTTGAGAGTATTTGCTGGTGCTTTAATGCCATCAGATTCCTGAGAGCTGGAGAGCTCCCCAAGTGCCATAACGAAGGGTGAATCTAAACCTGGCTTAAATGTTCCTCCTGAAGCTCCTGTGGCTGTCTGTGCTGGTGACGTGAGGTGCTTTCTCTTGCACTCCCTACAGCCCTATCTCTTTGAGAGAAGCTCTTCTCCCATTCCTATCTGGTAGCTCTGAACAAATCCAAGACAGTCTTCCAGTCAAATTCTTCCCAATCCATATCACACACCTTTCCTTCCACCTGAGCAAACCTTTTCATTTTTCCTCCTCTGCTCAGAACTTTGATTGTCCTTGCATTAAAAAAAAAGACACCTTGATAAATCAATTCATAGAGTTAAAAAAAAAAAATTATTTTCACCCCGGAAAGCAGACCCATGTGGAAACTTCAGTGCAGCAATGACATGAGATCATCTTTCAGCTACCAAAGTGATGTGAAATAGCAGCCTGCAGCTGTGTAAGCAAATAGAGCAGCATTACAGGAATCCATGCAGAGGTCAGTGGTGACCTGTGGAGTGGTTTCTGGCCTGCTCTGTCCAGGCAATCTGCTCAGTGCTGAACTGGATGGGAACTCTGGTTCTGTTTCCAAGAGCAACAAAGCTGTGAGGTGGTTCAGATGAAAAAAAGAAGATGATGGAGGTGAAGAAACTTAACGTGATGCCAACATTAATATCATCTGGCCTTGGTAATTGCCAGAGATCTCCAAAGATGAAAGCTTTCTGCTTCCTTCAGTCTCCAGCTGTGACCTCCTGTCCAAGTTGCTGGACTCAACTGGTGATGGTCAGAAATGTCCTGCAGCATTTCCAGCCGTGGGAACAGGTGGTGACCTAGTCAGTGTGGTTAATATGGAGAAATTACTTCTGAACTGGGTTGTAAGATGCAGTGAAGGAGAATGGAGACACAGCAGAGAAGACCCACCACTTCTGTACCTTAAGCCATCTTAAATCCCTCAGAGTTCTGGGACTGTTTGAGGCTTCCTGTGTTACACAGAGCAGCCTCCAAGCTGCTCTATCTAATAATAAGCTGTCCTCTGAGCTATACCCCTCCTTAACTTCACCACCATCCAGGCTAGACTCCCAGTCTGTCTAGTACTGGTAATAAGGATGGACTGCTGGGAAAACTGGTGTCAAAAAGGAAGGCTGGTCTCAGCTGATGAAATTAAAGAACAAGAAGCTCAAGCCTCTTGAAATCCCTTCCCACCTGAATTGATTATAAATTGCTGAGAGCAGATGGTCTGCAGCAGGTTGAGGTCAGTGCAGCAGCTTCTATACAGGTAAATCATACAAGTGTACAGAAGTTCTTCAGCACGTCAGGAGAAGCAGTAAAAGGAGAAATTATTTATGTTATTTTTCAAAAAATTCCTCAGATGAAGCTATGCAGGAGGCCTAGTGGCCTTGGTTTGAGGAGAAAGCTGAGTTATAGATCATCAACAAGTAAAAATAAGGAAATCAATGAAGTAGTTTGTCAGTCTAAGACAGAAAAAAAAATAATAAAGAGACATATCCCAAAGCACATTGTAGCACAGGTACTATTTAAAAAGTATTGTAGTGACCTGGACAGGGACAAGAGCATGACCAAATTCATAACTAGTACAGGTGTTTCTACCTACTTATGTCTGTATCTGGTAAATAATATACATCAGCACATATGCCCCATGGCATCAATAACATTCCTAATTTGGGGGGTCAGGTGGTCTCTTCTATGTTTTAACATACATGTTGTTTACTTTTCTAGGTAGAGATCTGTCAGGGTAGATTTTTTTGCTTTGATTCCTTGAGTTTTCCCAGTTAGAAGTGTATCAACTTAAAAGTGTATCTTTTTTTTTCATGGCCAGCTTTTCTCGATAAGAAAGAGTCCTGAAAAGTGGGTACATGAATTCTGGATTTGTTTGCTTCCTCTGGAACATTGTTCTGTCATTGAGACTCCTCTGGCAGAGGAGGTTTTTTGTCCCCAGATTTCACAGAGACGATTCTGAGTTCCCATTCCATTTAGGGAAGAATTGTTGAAGTGCTTCATAGACTGTCTTTCTTTTCATGTGCCAGGGGATTTCTGAGGCAGTCCTGCTCTCTCCTGCCCTGTGAGACACCATGCCACAAGTCCTGTGGGCGTTGTAGCCTGGACTCATGTGATGGAATAATCTAAAAAGACCAGGAGATGAAGTAATTTGGTAGCAGCTGAAATTCCTGATAGGAGTATGAGCTGCTGCATTGGCACTGGAATTGTAATGATCTTTAAGTGCTCCAGAATCCTGAGTAACCTTAACTCCTCATAAAAAAAGCATTCTGGTGACCAGTTCCATGACAAGAGAGGCATGATTGCCCAAACATGGGGCTTATTGCTGAAGGCAGAGGTTCTGAGGGCTAAAAGACAGTGTCTTAATATTGATGAGAGACTGCTCTGTTGGTCTGGAGAGCAAGTAATATGGCACAGCTTATGTCTGTTTGGCTTTCCTCTCCCTCCCTCCCTCCCTCCCTCCCTCTCCCAGACCCCAAACAGGGTGTTTTTGTCCATGCTGCCTTGTGGGAGCTGTTATTCATCAGGCCCCCATCTGAACCATCCTGGGAAAGCATCACTGGCCTGTGAATAAATTGTCAGGGAGCAT